AATTATATTATTATATATAGATAGAGAGAGAGAGAGAAGACCTGGTCATTTGTGTTGAAATGGTAATTATTATTATCAGAAGAAGTGGCGGTCATATTGACGGAGGGTGGAGGGGTTCTATCAACGGCAGCGATGCGATTAGCGTGCGCAGTATTACTATGTGAGTAGTTTTCTCGGCTTCCCATGTTTCTCACTTCTCTTTAATTTCTATCTCTAATCTCTATCGATCTTTTTTAGATTTTTGTACTTAAAGATGTTGCCTTTTGGAGAGGTTCAGTGGAGAGATTTTGTGCTTTAGTTGTTTGTTGTTTCAGTGAACAGACACAGAGCAGCTTGCATGAATAATAGTTATATATATATACACACACACATATATTTGTGTATGTAATAATTAATGCACGATAGCGTGGAACCCGCCACTTATTGTATGTGATTCGTTCTGGACAAATCAGCAGTCCGTTTCCCCTCAAATGGACGCCATGTGTCTCTTCCTCGTGCCCAAAACGGCGCGCCCCTTGCAACTCTTTTTTTTTTTTTTTTTATGGATTAGGATAATTTTTTAAAGGGACAGCCTCCTATAAACCGTTCTCCTCATAAAATTAATTTTCTAGATCTAATTAAAATTAAAATTAATTAAAAAAATATGAAAAACTGACCGTTTTTAATATAAATCTAACGGTTAAAAAAAATTTGAAAAAATAAAATTACTGATAGTTTCATTTTTCTAATCTTATAGGAAAAACTCTCTTTTTTAAAATACCCTTTAAAATGAGGTCCTTTTTTTTTTTTTTAATTTTAACCTCTTAATATTAACCCATATATCTCTACTTTTTAGATTAAAATTAATTAAAGGTTAGAGTTTTTTTTAAAAAATATTTTTAATAAGTTAAATACTTAAAGAGGTCTCAATTGATTTTTTAATTCATTTGTGACAAGTCATTTATTTGTATGTAGGTACATATATAGTTATGCATGTACAAAAGATTAGTACTATAATCTTTTTGTGATTTGACAAAATGTCTGTTAGTTTTTGTTTTTTGGTTTTGACAATTAATTAACTCTTTTGACTTTGTCAAATCGTTGCATTTCGTTTAAATTAGTAATGTCTTTTAATTGGTGATGAAAATACCTCTGTGTGCCTTATATTTTTGCACTTTATTTTCTTGAACTTTTCCTTGCTTTGTTAAATTACCCTATTAGTTTTAATTTTATCAATTAACTATTATTTTTCGTCACCGATTTAAACAATATTATCAATCTGGATGATTTTTTTTCTTTTAATACGGAGAACGTTGGTTTATTAGTGATCTCTAAGACCTTATTCATTTCACCGATTCGAGTTTAAAATTTAAGTTTTGTTATAATAAAAAGCTCTCAGAAACAGTTACATCTAACTTTTTTGTTACAGTAAAAGGCTCTCGTATAAAGTCACATCTCAACTCAAATTAAAAACTCGAATCAACAAACTAAACGGACCTTAAAAAAGTACTTTCGATCTTCGAAATACAATGGAGCCATGAATTTGAAAAGAGTAGAAACATGAATCAAATGCGCCAATCAATTTACGTCATTGTATAAATTTGTATATCAAATATTGTAAGGGAAAATATTCTACAACTGAAAACGTTGTCAAGCAAGTGAGAACGTCCACTACCTTTTAATTTAGTATAAACATGTTCCATGCCTTTCCTTTCCTCGTTAAAAGGCCTAAAATGCTTCATGCCGTCTCTTTTTCTACAATTTTCTTTTTTTTTAAATCTGAATTACAAATGATTTACCTGAAAATCCAAACTCTCCAACCTATGAGCTCAGAATAAATAATTTATTAACTAGTGGTCTTATTAGCGCCATTGATTTGGAACATCTCGGTCAAATAAATTATTGGTCTCCACATTGCCATATATTATATATATATATATATATATATATATGGATTTATTTTCAATGGATAATGATCCTAATATGTGCAAAAGAATTGCAGCCAGATATATTTCATAGTTTTATTTGTACTCATCCTCGTGATTATTGATTTATTTAAATTTTTTTTTAAGTTATTAGATGCATTCCAATTTAACAGTCTAATGAATAGAACAATTGATATTTAGCTTTAGTTATACATTCAAACCAATTCCCTTGAAGCAATAGAATCTATTATATTATATTAAATTAAGCAGCTAAAAAAGAAAAGAAGTTCCAACGAAGCAAAGAGATATAGCCCCGTTCATTTCACCGATTTGAGTTTAGAATTCGAGTTTTGTTACAGTAAAAAGCTCCCAGAAACAGTCACATCTAACTTTTTTGATACAGTAAAAAGCTCTCACATAAAGTCACATCTTAACTCGAATTAAAAATTCGAATCAACGAACTAAACGGGTTAGTCTACAGTCATTCTAAAATTGAAACAAAACTAACAAGAGCTTTCTGGTAAGTCTCTAAATCAAGAGAGTGAATCTTTATTGAAGCTGAATTGAAGATTTACAGAATAAATTGTATAATAATCCTAATGATAATGTTGGTATTCGAGAGACCATTAACTCTCCCAAAGGGTTTGCCCCAAATTTCCCTAAACCAGATCATCAGCCTTACTAACTCGTAATTTCTCCTTCTAACAACTCCTAACAATTATAATCACCAAAAAGGGGGGAAAAAAAAGTTCCTAACAACTGTACTAATTAAAACACCTAAAACCATCTAACAATATTCCTAATATATCATACCCTTATTAACTAACCAAACAACCAGGAGTCATAGCACTTCCCCACACGATAGTGAATCCAAAATTGAACGAAAAGAAAATGCCAACTTAATTTTGCCGGATGTTTTATTGGGACTTTTGCAATAGATAGTATGCAATTAGATCATCATTCATCAAAATTGAATAGTATTATAATTTGCAAATATCTAATTAAGATTTGATTGACACACAAACATTCATTATCAATAGCGTATATTGTTATGTCTTGCCATAGAAATCTCCAATATTTTCAGGTTTATATATACTTTTGAAGAAAAAAAATAAAAATATATATAGATGAAAATTGTACTTGTTAGTGTATTTTGTAATTTTAGGTTGGCATATTTTTGGCAAATTAGTTGTAATGCATTCTAAAATAGGCATCTGCTCATTTTACTTGGTTGACTTACGATGGAGCATTATGGCCGGTTCATCTAAGGAAAGAATCATAAGAATTATGGTCTCCTTGTTGTTATTGGGGCTGGCAGCTTTATTGGTGATTAATAGATGATTTATTACCTTTATTGGGTGTGGTTATCGTTGACAAAAGATGCATGGTGCAGTGCATGTATATAAGGTGTTGTACGAGAGGTAATTGGGTGAGATGATTTGACAACTAGTAAAAAGGATTTGGTTTGAAATTCAAAGGTGGTGATCAAGAGAATCGGGGAACTGATTCTTTCAAGGAGTCCAACATATAATTGTATATAGACCACCTAAAGAGAAAAGGGAGTTGCGGCAATTCAAGAGAGAATAGACAGAAAATATTTGAGAAGGATTTTAATTGAAAATATTTAGAAAAAAATCTATAAGATAATGAGCATTTGAGTGTTGATTGAAGATCGCTCTTCAGGAGAAGGATTAGAAGCTTTTGTGAGAAAGCGCACTGCCAGCCAAAGGAATTTCGCCGTGTAATTAAAGACGAGTGGTGCTTGCGGGACAAGGCCATTAAGGAGATTCGACAAGATGGTGACAACATAAAGGAGGGAGTCTTTGAGTGTTTAAGTCTGGTTGGTGTTTTGTAATCTTTTGGAACTTAGTGGATTGTTCAATGTTTGGGCGTGGCCCCGCAGAATTTTTAGAAAATTTTTAGAATATTATACCTATAGAAAAAATGACATAGTCATTATAATAATAATGTCGTATCTTATACTATATAATGATATCATTATTATTGTAATGATATCATCATTATTTTAATGATATCAAAATTTTGCTATTTTAACAATATTTTAAAATTTTTACTATATTTAAACTCTGCAATTGAAATTTTACTATATGTGTAAAATTGTATAGTCTTGCCTTAGGTGTGGTGGTGACTGAGTAACATAATAAATTAAGGAATCATCCATTATTCCTTGGTTTTAATTTATTAATTAGTGATGAGTAACAGAATGGTAGTTGGTTTGGTTTTCTTGGTGGCATTCATTTAGATATTATTGGATTAGGTTAATTGATGAACATCGGGTTTCCCTTTATGCTTTTTAATTAGGATAATTATAAACAACACTTTATTTGCAACATTGATTGCATTCTTAAGCACTCTCGAAGTGGAAACTTTTGGTCGTGTTTGGAATTGATCCCGTTTTTATTTTTTACGTTTTTTGAGAAAGAAAAAATGAAAATGTTTTCAAAACGGCGTTTGGCGCAATAAAAACAAAAAACGGAAATGAAAACGATTTTTTAGTTTAGTGTAAAATGAGAGAGAAATGAAAAATAACTTTTAGTCATTTTTCATTTTTTATTTTCGTTCTCTCCTCTCTCGAGCAGAAAGAGAGAGAGAGAGAGAGACATTAATGGGTTTTTTTATACTGAAAATAATCTCTTGATAAAACTACCAAACGCATTTTCAGAAATAATTTATGTCAAATATTTTCATTTTCATTTTCATACAAAAAATAAAATCATTTTAGAACGAGTTCCAAACGCGCCTTTTGTTTTTACTTCACCAAATATAAGCTGAAATTTAAAGATCTAAAGCAAAATTATGAAAAAACCTAATCGTAATACAGACAAAGAGAAGAAAACAGGAACAAAGAAAAAGAAAGGTATCCAAAAAATAGCCAAATAGGCAATGATATCGTATATCTTTGTATCTTATATCTTATCATATAATATCTGAATTATATAATATATCACCACTTGGCTTCATTATGATATCAGAATTAGATATGTATAGTCAAAATTATAGCTCGCCCCATTGAAAGCACATGATTATTGGCAAAATAACCAAACATCTATCGTCAATATATAGTATTATATATGATAAGGCATTTCTCCTATCGCATTGGACCGTTATCTCCAGAAAACAGCACCAGTCAAATAAACAGTCACAAACTGGAACTGGGACAAAGTCGCCTTCAATTCAATACATTATTCGCCATCAAAGAAAATTAAAAAAAAAAAAAATTATCAGTCATTTTGCAATTTTGTGCATGTATATAATATCCT